AAAATAAAAACCCACCCCACCCTTAATGTGAGACATATCTATGAATCAGATTTAACTCGTTTTGATAGTTCTAATATTATGTGTTATGTTGATGTTTATGGTGCAGAGGTTGTATAAATTGGGGGCTCGCAAGTTTGTGCTCATGTCTATAAACCCCAATGGGTGCAGTCCATCAGCCAAGGCTAGGAACCCCCGGCGCAGCGGTTGCATCCAATATGTGAACCGAGCAAATCATCTCTTCAACCACAAATTGAGGACATTGGTGGATGCCATTTTGCCACAAATGCCTGCTTCTAACCTAGTTTTCGTCAATGCATACAAGGTCATTAGGGATATCATTAAGAATCCAGCCTCTAATGGTGAGTATGTATATACTTTTCCTTATCAAAACACCTTTCACGTTCATCATAATCTATATTGATAATGATAGTATATAAACAAAATCACTACATTGAGATTCATTTAGCACAATATAATAACCGTGATTATATGCTAGAAATTATATAAAACAATATTAATAATGGTTCACATGCATCCTTGATTTTATATATCATTCTTGTTTTCCTAGTACCTTATTCAATTCTTTTATTAGGTCTATGATAGATGACAATAAATTAAAATAAAATAAAATAAATCTTGAAATCTTGAAAGAATAGATTTCAAAGATTTGATTAAACAAGATATAATCAAGGGAAATATATAGTTAAATACATTCCTGAACTTTATATGAAAAATCAGCAATCTTGAGAGAAAAATCAACGACCAGGGAACAATCGTTGGCCGCATTCTTTGAAGAAGACGACCAACAAGTTGCCTTCTTCGGTGAAGCAAGCAATCACTGGTCACCTTTTTCCGTTGAGAGTAGGTGACCAATTGGTCACCTTTTTCAAAGAAGGGGACCAGTGACCATTCATTGGGGAAGGTTACCGGAACCCTAACGACTTGCTATTACAGGTCATTATTCAGTTTTTTCGGCTTTAATGCACAAAATTGACATATTGATGTTCTTAATTGGTTCAGAGATGTATTTAACTATTTTTCCTATAATCATACTCTCATAAACAAAATGTCACTAAAAATGGCTAATATCTGCATCTAATTTTTAAGCTTATATATATGTCAATTTTACTTATTTGTTGTTGAATATTATTATTATTATTATTATTTTAAAAGGATTTGTAGATGCAAGCAATGGCTGTTGTGAAGTCCCCTCAATAGATGAAGGTGGAAATGGGATTCTATGCAAGAAAGGAGGATCCATATGTGCAAACAGGAGCAATCATGTGTTCTTTGATGGCTTACATCCAACTGAAGCAGTAAATGCAGTGATTGCAAGGAAGGCTTATACTTCCATACGGAAAACTGAAGTTTACCCTATGAATGTGAAGCAACTCTCACAAATTTAGACCTCATGATTATGTTTAATTAATTCCTACTAGTCTGTTTTCTAAGCTTAATGTCAGCTAACTCTTAATAGCTACTCCCATACCTTGGTTGCTATTATATGTATACCTGCACTTTCGTTCAAATTCTTAGTAGTAGTTAATTATAGTTTGTGTTCATGTTAAATTATATCAAGGGAAGTTAAATTAAAGATCTTTAGGTGACTTGTGAATCCCATATAGGGTACGAACATATTTCTTGTTAAAGTGGTCTCTACCTTATTATCTACAACGTTAACGTTGCAAATTAATTAAGGGAGACCACTTGAACAAGAAATATGATTGGCATGGAAGGTTGCAGTACACCTGGGCTGGGCGTTATATTTAGATGCATTACAGTGGAAATGATCACCGAAAAGCCAAGCCAGTTTGGGATCGGAACACTACAACATGGGAAACAATTTAAAAATCCTTTTGGTAGCATGTAAATCCCATATAGGGTATGAAAGATTCGGGTAACGAGATATATATAGTGCAACATAACTTGCTATCCGTCAAACATACTGCAACGTACCGCACATATGTATGTGTGACCTATTATATTCTCTTTATATATTTTTGTTGGGGGTGTAATTTTCAATTCTATATAGCTACTAGTCATAGCCCAACAAATGCCAAAATAATTTGTTAAAAAAAGTATATTAACAAATTGCATAATTAAATGAAGCATCATATGAAAGTCAACTAAAAAGCACAAAAAAATAATATACAATTTGCATGCACTCCTCCTCCTCCTCCATCGTCATAATACTAATGAACCTAAAATAGGTTCATTATGATAATTACAAAAGTTCATTTTCACAATGCATAAGATTTATTTATTAATATTGCAAATCCATCAATAAACAACTAAGATTCAAATATATTAATACATATATTACAAGTCCATCAATAAACACTAGCATGCTCAATAAAATGAACCCATATATTAAATCTCAGTATAATTAGTTGCCCATAACGTACTAATGCTGAAAGGCATTTTACACAATATGAGTATGTACATATTCTAGAATTTTTAATTTGTGTTTGACAATTCGCTTTGTATTAACACTAGTAATTCACCCGCGCGATGCACCGGAAAAAATGATGTTATTATAAATATAAATAAAAAAATATTTTAAATTGTTTAATATAATAATATTTTTGAGCTTCCATTGGTCAAGTATTTATTATTTTTATAGAATACAAAATTAAAATTAAAATTTTGTATGATTAATATAATCTCTAATTATGTACATATTCAAATAAACTTATAGAGAGAATTTACATAATTACATTGATTTATTCTTAATTGTATTTCATCTATATTATAATTTTCACAATACGAATAATAACTAAGATAATTACATTTAGAAAGCAAATTTAAAATAAATGCAGTCATTTGTTATGGGGGGAAAAAATAGCTATTTTATTTATCAAATGTTGTGTTTTTTTTTAATAGTAAAGGATGTTGTGGCTATTTTATAATAATAATAAGGATAGAGATAATAATTATAACAATAATTACTCACCAAAATAATAATTGTAACATTAATTACTTCCCAAATCATATAACTTTATTATAGTTAAGATAAGATGAGAGATACCAACAAAATACTGCAATTAATATTAATTCATATATGAGCTCTCACACATATATTTGTCTATTTTCATTAAATTTTTAAAATTTTAATTTTATTTTGAAATTTATTATATACTTTATTTCTAACTTATGACAATTATAAATTTTACTAGCAGCTATCGTATTTGATGGTGTGAATTCTGCTTGCTATCTAGAATCTCAAGGAGTAAAATAGTAATTGTGATTATATTGAGGAGAGGAGAGAAATTGGCCTAAGAATCTCAAGGAGTAAAATAGTAATTGTGATTATATTGAGGAGAGGAGAGAAATTGGCCTAAGAGGCTTTGTTCTTGAATGTGTAGAGAGAGTAATATGAGTAGAAGTGGAAAAAAGCCCTATTTTTTTTGTGTGTCAAAGGCTTGAATGTGTAGAGAGAGTAATATGAGTAGAAGTGGAAAAAAGCCCTATTTTTTTTGTGTGTCAAAGGCTTGAATGTGTAGAGAGAGTAATATGAGTAGAAGTGGAAAAAAGCCCTATATTTTTTGTGTGTCAAAGGCCATTATATAGGTAGTGGTTCTAACCGTTAAAGAATAAAATATTCTTCAAAGGATACTTGACCTTAATTCAAGTACCGAACAAATGTCCTGAACGTATAGGGAGATATATCCAGGAAATAATCTCTATCAGTATTCATGATTGGACATATATATTAAATGATACTAGTTATGACACGCGCTTTGCGCGATTAGACCAATGCCCAATGTGTATTTATAAATTAGTGTTCCTTAATTGGTTAAAGTATTCATATAATAATGAGAGTATATAAACATATGTATGTTCACGGTAGAATAAGGGTATAGTTTAGGAATGTATAAACATATGTATTATATAATCCTATTAATTAAGACATCAACATTCTAATTAAAAATTAAAATTCTATGAAGACTTGTATTCTAAATTCTTTTTAAGACTTCAACGTTCTAATTAATAAATTAGAAGTGTATAAAGATTTGTATTCTGAATTCGTATTAAGACTTCTATATACTGTAAATATAATTTAGAATTGTATATAGATATTGTATTCTAAAATTCTAAAATCCTAGTAAGTCTTGATATTTTAAATATAATTTAGAATTTAGAATTGTTTAAAGATGTGTATTCTAAATTTCTATTAAGACTTGTGTATTCATATAAGAATGTGTATTCTGAATTCCTAATTTAGAATTGTATAAAGATGTATATTCTAAGTATGAATTAGAATTATATATATATATATATATATATATATATATATATATATATATATATATATATATGAAGGAAATTAGAATTGTATATAGATTTGCATTCTAAATTCCTATTAAGACTTCAATAGTGTAAATATAATTTTGAATTCTATAAAGATGTGTATTCTAAATTTAAGTTAGAATTATATAAACATTTGTATTTTAAAAAACGTATTAAGATTTTAGAATCTTATTAAGATTTTTTTTTAAACATAAATCCTAACATGGGGAGAATAGTAAAAAAGTCAAACATACAGAAATAAACATAACGTCAAATGTATATACTATTTGGCAGCTTACAGCATAGTGTTGAGCCGATTGCACTTATTAAGACTTCAATTTCAAGTTAGTTGGATTTATTGAACCAGAGGAGTGAACACTCATAATGCTTGTACTTCATATATAACAGTATTCAAGTGGTTTGTATTAGTGCTTCGTGTTTTATAATTATAGATAGTTGAAAATATGAAAAGTAGATTAACAATTTATACATCAGACCATGTTCATAAAATAAATATTTAGCAGTGCAAGAACTTGTAAAAGTGTACAAAATTGCAATAATGAATTCATTGGAAGCTGATGTCCATCAAAAAATCGGAGGAACAAGTTTGTTTCTTACATTTGCGCATAATATTAACAAGTAAATATTAAATGATAAAACACAATTTTTAAGAGCCAACCCCCCTCCCCCATCCCCCCCCCCCCCCCCCAAAAAAAATAAAAAAAAATCAGAGTAATAAATTATAGTATGAATACAATATAGTCTCAAATAGTCAAATATTGCTTTGACTATTTATTTAACCCCAGAAAATAGAGTTAAGAGTGAAGGGATTTAAATTTCTAGAGAAGTGATAGCCTGATAGCTCCCCTAAATACAAAATTTGATCTATTTCTTAGAGCAAAAGATTTTGTAAAACCCACCACCAGGGGAAAACCATAAGCTAAAGAACCATTGGTGTGGAAGAAGAACATATGAAGAATACCCACTTGCTCAAATGGCTCAAGTGCATAAAGTTTGTCCGTAATTCCTTTGCCTGATAAACAAATGGGAGAAGAAAAATCAATGAGAATGCGCTTCAAAATACAACTCCTAATTGAAAATATAATGATCAGAACGGCCTTTCAATCTTCCAATAAGATGTAATAACACTAAGGGTTGGCAAAATGAACATAAGCATCCACAAAATGGTTACCTCAAGTCTTTTCTCCCAATCTGCACCATAAAGGCTGCTTAGAATTGGGACCAACCTTGAGAATGAAATGAGGAAGTTCTTTGAAAAAGATCATCATTAAAAAATGTAAGAATTTAATATCAATCAAACAAATGGACAAACTAAAATAAACACGCGTCAGCCGCGTCAAGCAGGTTCAAAAACAAAGCAAAAGACAAGTATGCGTATGCACCCAACTGTGCCTAAAAACTCAAAAACGAAAGCATCGAAGCAAATCAATTCAATAAACTCAAAAAAGAAAGCATCGAAACAAATCAATTCAATTTCCGTGCTTATAAAGTCCTGAGTGTTACATCTGTACGGTGAAAAATCAAACTAAACAAACCAATAATAGATCTATCAACTCCGAAACGAGATCAGCAAATTTATATGAAAGAACTACACAAAGATCAAAAAGGTTATACGAAAGAAGAAAAAAAATCCGAAGAACTAAACAAGATCGGCAGTAGCTTATATGAAAGAACAAGGAACGGATACAGACGAGCATATACATAGATAAATTCAGTGATAAAGAGATGAAGAGAGAGTGGATTACCTTTCCACAGGCATGACTTTGCAGCTCTCCTGTTGATTAGTGATGATTTATCCTCCACTAACAGTTTCCTGCATTTTCTTCTTGCAAATTAAGAGAGAGATATCTATAATGAATCTTGTCAGGCATCCATATGTTGTTCGTTTACATGAGGCATGAGCTAAAATAAGAGTATATGCCTTTTATTTACCCAAAAGGGAGATTTTTCCAGTCACTTCAGGCTTTTCTCGTTTCAGAGTTTTTTTAATACTTCGGTTCAAACTTTCTTCTGGCTAAAAATCATATGTTTTTGTCAGGTTATAGCAAGCCGCACAAAGATTTATATTATTTTGGAATTCATAACAGGGGGAGAACTTCAACTTTGAAGATTGTAGCTTTAAATATTGCAATCAAAGTTTTCATTGCAGTTAATTAGTTTGTTAGTACTCTTATATTCGGAAAAACTAACAAATTGTATATCCGAAATTTCAAATTACATCCATGTCAACCAAGCATAAGATAATTTGAAAAGGCTGGAAAGCAAGGCAGGACTAAAGACATCAAAATGAGTTAATTTTTTCAGAAAATACAAAAAATGGCAATATCAGTCATTACAGCATTATATGCATGATCTTATTGTAAGAGCTTTGGGCATTACAATCCCAGTAGGAGTCTCTTCATTTCCACAAACTAAAGTAGGCAACTTCAGCTCTGTACCTCTTGGAGTCTTGGGACAGACAATTCTTAGCAACTTGTCCTCAATAACATTATATCATTCAAAATTCTCAAAAAAATATGAGGTACAAAATCAAGTTCTACTATAGCCAAACCCAAGGAGACCCAAAACACCAGACTTGCTTAACATCATCACCATTCAACAACTATCCCACCCATACAAATAAATAATATAAAAAAAATATTAAAAAAAAAAAAAGATGCCACAATCATCTCCTCCAACTGCAAAATTGCAGTTGGCATTTCCAATCTTTTACTGAAATTTTCCGTTAGTCAAAATTAAGCTGTAAAAAAAGAAATTTAAAAACAAGCAAAATCAAAAGGGAGCACAAATCACATCTGAAAATCCAGTCTTGATAAACAAAGCAACAAAAAATCAATGTACAATTGATGACCTAATGAGAAATAATAAAATAAAAAGAATGAATGGAATTGAAAAACATTAGTTTGAATCTGAGAGCTTACTGAATTAAGAACTCGGGCAGAATTGCGTAGAACAGGATGAGCGTTTGCAAGAGCGAGGAGTGGAGCAAGAGGAAGGGTACTAAGGCAACAAGGAGCTTATATGGAATGGCTGAAATCCGTGAAGAGCAACTATAAATCGTGCATTGAGGAGCTCGAAACGGAGAAGATCAAAGAGAAAGTGACGGAGGAGGTGACGCGGCTGATGCGGGAGATGGAGCCCCATCTCTGAGATCGCCTTGGCTTTGTTCAATTTTGCTGTGCTTGTTGTGCTTCTTACGATCTCCTTCCTCCTCTTACCTCCGGCGGCGGCAGACGATCCCTCCTTTTGTCGATTTTGCTGTGCTTGTTGTGCTTCTCCTTATTGCCATTCAATTTCATTAAAACTACAAATTTGCCACCGCCAAGTTCAATTGACAGAATCTGTTAAATTTAACATTGTAAGTTTGCTATTAGTAAGAAGAATGAGGGTATATTAGGGTTTTAATTTGGTAATGTACAATTAGATTAGCATAATGTATAATCTTGTAGAGCACATTGTTGTACCGACATTTTTTTAGTTCCCGTTAAGGGTCTAACAATATTCGCTCTTATTAAAATTGTAGATATCATTTTAATTTATGAGCTTAAAGTGAGACAATTATTAATTTATTTACTAATTTTAAATATGTTGGAAAAATGCATTAAAATGGCATTTTAAGTGGCTATTTTATGGTATAATTATTGGTGAGGTTCACTTCTGATTTTGGTCGGGTCAACGTGGATTCGGGTTCTTCGTAGTGAGGCGAAGAGATTGATATGTTGTACGCTCAAAACGGATAATGGGTGAATGAGATATTGATTCTCAAAGTAGACTCATTGAGTTGAAAAATGAAGAGAAAAAGTGAGCTTTTGTCCCACATTGGTTAGGGAAGAGGATTTGCCCCACTATTTATACAAGAGCTCTTTTAAAGTTTATTGAATTGTATAGCATAAAGGCTCTCTCGCGTGCGCATGATTCGAGCCTTAGCGACCGAACTCAACAGCATGGGACCATGGCAGGAGGCCCAACAGTCTAGTAGTGTGGAATTTTAAATTCAACAATAGTTACGGAATTTAATTTCTATTAATTCCAATTTTAAAATTCGAATTTTAAGTCAAACATAATGACCTTGCTGTTTCAATTTGTTACAAGGCCTAGGTTTATGGCCTTGTTTAATGTTATTTAGTACACCACTCCCTATATAAGAAGGGGTAGAGGGCAACAGATTTTTCAATGCACATAGTGACAAGAATACACAACACATGAAGTGTTTTCCTCTCCTAAAAACTCTGCTTCTACTCCTCTCTTTGCCTAACTGTGTTCAAGGCTTTGCTCTAGTTCGTCAGGTTCGTTTGTTTGGGTGCTCAAACGTTGAACCGTAGCACCTTTTATCCTAGGAAACCTAGGCCATAATGCTCCTAGCACTTTTGGGAGGTGACAAATAAGGTTTTAAGGAAAATTGAGTGTCTCGCTTGACTCGTGCTAAAAACCCTATACCCAAACACAAGCATATTTTTCTTCTTTCGGTTTGGATTATGCTTCTAAGCAAAAATCATCTTTCTATTACTGATATAGTCGTTGTATTGGAATTATAATATGAGGATTATACGTTCCAATTTTGGTTGATATATATTTATATATCTTTTTCGTAGATATATATGTACAGTGGCGGATCCCGAAATTTTGTTCAGTGGGGGCGAAACATTAAAACAAAATGTATAACTTAAAAAAAAAAATGAAACAATTAAAAAGTTAGCCATAAATATTATTAGATATGAGCGAAAAATAAACAAAATATGAAACATAATTAATTTGATACAATAATTCTAATATAAAACACATTATAAATTACACATTTTATTATTAATAAAAAATACATTATAAATTACACATTTGAAGTTAGTCATAAATATTGTTAGATATGAGCGAAAAATAAAAAAATATTTATAATAAAATATAAAACATAATTAATTTGATAAAATAATTTTAATAGAAAACACATTATAAATTATACATCTTATTATTAATATAAAAGTATATACATATATTTTGAAAGCCTAATGTGGTGTTAAAGGACTTGAAGCCACTATTATTCAAATAGCCAAAAATACAATTTAAGATTTAAACCCTTGACCTTTCCCAAGTAAAGAAGCGTGCTCTGTCATATAAGCTAACTAATAGTTTGTTAACATTACCGGTTTTATTTTACTTATACTAAATCTTGTACTATATATACATACATACAAGGTTGCAAAAATCGCGCCTAGGCGCCCGGCCGCCGCCGCGAAGAAGGCCGGAATCGGCCTCCTCCGCGGCCGGCCGGCTAGGCGGCCGCCTAGACCGCCTAGTCGGTTGAACCGGCGCTTTAATTTTTTTTTTTTAATCTTTTTTTTTTTGCGTTTTAAATTGCGAAAAGTTCGGGTTTAAATCGGTTGTCCGTTTTGGACAATTTTTTTTTCAAATCGCGTATTTTTTCGAGATCTATCCACCGCAAACTGCCGAAGGCGGTTTGGTCCACTAATTACTCAAAAAAATGCTTCTTTAGCTCTTAATTTTAGTTTTTTTAATGTATTTAGATGATTTAAACAATCTTTTGAACACTTTTACAACCACTTTCGTAAATAGTTTCTAAGAAATAACTATGGAAACTTTATGTTTTATTACTACATTTTAAAAATTTTTAATTTTTAATTTTATTTTTAATTAAAAAAATTAAAAAAAAATAAAAAAATCGGCGCCTAGGAACCCTAGGCGCTAGGCGCCCCCTTGCCGCCTAGGAGGCGCCTAACGTGTTTTGCAACATTGCATACATATATACATACAAAGATTATATAGGGGGTGAGAATGGGGTGGCGTGGGGTGAGTGGGGACAGCTGCCCCATTGCCCCACTGTAGGTCCGCCCCTGGTTGGATGTCAGGTCATGATTTATCAGTTTTGATTGGAAGCTTACCGGCTAAAATGACTAATTACATAATTTTTATGAATTAAAGGGTTCATTTCAATATTTTTATACTTTGAAGGTTTAATTACTATTTTGGTTATAATTGAAGGGTTTATTTAACCTTTATCCCTAATCCTCCATTTCTCCGCTTCTAAGTTCTAACCGAGCCCCTAGAAACCCTAGTTCTTCGTCCTCTCCATAACCGTAGCTCTATTTCCCTGCAAAAATCTCCAAACGGTAAATGATATTTTGATTTTTGGTTTTGTGCTTGATACTTATAATGTGTTTTTCCCGATTACCGGATTTCTAATTATATGTATGTATAGGCAACAGAAGGTGTGAAACCCAAGCTTACCCGGTGGCCGATGAGCTGCTCACCGCAACGATGATGCACTTGGTTCAACTAGCTGCCAACTATAAGCATCTTTAAAAGGTTGCTAATGAAGGCTATCTTCTTCCTTCTTGTTTATTTTGTATTTATTTTACCCTTGTTTTATTTTAGCATTCCCTGTTTTCCCCCCTGTTTTTTCACTTGTTTAATCTTTAATTACCGTATTCAATTGGATGAGAAAACTGGGGTTTTGTTCTGTTTCAGCCACTAAGACACTAAACCAAGGGATTTTAGAGTTTATTGTTATGGCAGCCTATACTGAACCACTCGAAATTCATCTTCACCTTCCACTTCTATCGGGAGATACTGTTTGGTAAAATAGTTAGCTTTCAAAGTAGTTTTTTTGATAAGCTTTTTGAGAAAGTTATTTTGCATGTAATCAACTACTCCGTATTAGCTAATAGCTAATTTACCAAACACTTTTCTACAATAAGCTATACTATCAACTAGTCAAACCTACTAACCCAATCAGCTAAGAGCTACTCCGTATTTACCAAACACCCCAAAGGTAAAATTTGTGCTATAGGCAATTTGGCTGTTTAGGATAATCCAAAATAAAATTGGAAAAATGTTTGGAATTATGTAGACTGATTGACAATTATACACTTGTATTATAAAAGAATTTACTAGTTCTACTTTCTAGTGTAAATCAGATGTATTTTTTTATTCAGTGATCCCATTTTAAATAACTTATTATGATTCTTGTTGTTGTTGTTGCATCTTTTATAGAATTTTTGAATCTAAATCATGATCATTATTAACTTTTCAATGCAGTTTAGGTCAATTTTGTTAGTCTTTTAATATTAGTTGCATTACCTACATTTCTGTTAGAGCAGTTGCCAAGGAAGCTCATGTTGCAACAATGGAAGCTCATATGCTAACATAGATCACATAATTTCTTTGACGTTGTTCATTTTCTTGGTGAAATGGGATTATCAGTTATTATTGTATTGCTGGTTCTGTTTTTGGTTTCTTAGAAAGAAAGCCTGATGATTGCATCTTAAGAACGGAGATCTGAATCGGTACTGTTTGTTGTAGCCTGCCCTCCAGCTGGGCTCCAAATAGTACTTTATGACGTCAAATTGTAAAAGATTTGAAGATGAAGGCTTTCCATACCTTTTTTTTTTTTTTTTTTTTTTAATATGCTATTACATTTAATTAAAAATATCAACAATATGTATAAATGTTTATTTATTTAAGTTGTCTTACCATAAAAGAAAACTTGTATTTTCAAGTATTTAGTTGGATAGTTTATTGTTTGAAAATATCATCTTTATATACAACACTACACTGTTATAAAGCAATAAAGCATAGCATTTTTTCTTAGAATGGCGTTTATTGTTTTACTGTCAATTAATATGTGATACATAATTTAAATTTTGGAAGGATATTTGAGATCAAGAAAGACAAGTTTTTCTCTATACTCTTCTACTGTTTAGCATGCTTTCTTTACTTGTAGTTATTTTCCTTTGTCAGCATTTGCTCTGTTTTAGGCCCTTGCTAGTTTCAACTGTGGTTTGGTGCTAAGTTGGCCTAGCATTTGGGTGCATAATTTTATCAAAGTTACAGTAAAGAGGTTTAGATGGAAAGGATCTCATCACATTTTTTATTTGCTGACTTTCGGAATCTGTAATTTATGTCATATTCAAATCCAGCTCTAGGTTGAGCATGTAGCATTACCCGACCTGTGATTGCTTGTTCCAAGACAAGCAATGAAGGAAGTGAGTTGAAATCTCAAATACAGCAGCTCAAGGTATATTATCAATCTGTGTTCATAATAATCATAATCACATATGGCCCAAATGAAACCGTAATCCCTTTCCTTTGTGAATTGCAGGATACCCTCGAGAAACTCAATACCAGATTCACTTTGAGGCTTTGACTGACGAAGTTAGCCTGCGATGCTGCCATCTCTTCTCCGTTTAATGAATTCCATGTTTGAAAAACAGAGGTTATTGATACATTCTTGGAGTTGGTTATTTAGGAAGTTGCTAACTTGCTATGATTGGAGAAGTCTTATTTTATTAAAATTAATTTACATTGTTTCAATATTAAGAAATAATTAAATAGTTATTTAGCTTATTACTTAGTTTAATTATTTGAAAACTATTAAATAATTATTTAGCTTATTACTTTGTTTTTGAATTAGTATTGACAATTTAGTTATTTAGAAACTACCATATAATTAACTAATCTTAGTTTGGATATCATTGTATTGCCCTATTATTAAAGGGATAAGTATTTACAATTTATGAGGGGTGAATTTTGAATACTAATGTAAAGAACAAGGGAGTTTTGGGTTCAAGAAAACCCAACTTTTTTTTTTATTTTTCCAACTATATATATATTTTTTCTTTTGTGTTTCTTGCCTGTAATGTGAGCACATAGCACATGTTATTGATTGCAGTTTGTATACAGATTTTTATACTTGCTTCATTGTTCCTCTAGAGTCCAAATATAATCTAGTACATTGAGTTTTGAGATCAATGGACGTTTTTAACTTAACATATGCTTAAACTCAAAATTCTTCCAAAGTCTGGGAACGGAGCATTCTTTCTTGACTACTACAAGTTGCTTGAGAATTTCCAATAAAATAAAATAGAGAAAAAACCTTAGTGCAAGGACAAAGTTCTTTATCAAGTCGTTTCTTTAGTTTTAGGGAAAACTATAACAAGCACATGTTTCCATTCAAATATTCACACACAAAATGGATTACAGACCAATGTTTAATTGCTTTCCAGGCTATAGATGTGTAAATTAGATTTGTCAAAGTGGGCCGGTAGAATAGTGCAGGCTTATGTGGCTAGCCACTTGGAGAGTTGGTATACCATGGACCATGGTCCACCTTGCAAGGTGAACCCTGGTCCTAAACAACATATAAATTGTGTGTTTTTAGTATTGGAATTTTGAACTTCTAGAATATAAATTGTGTTTCTAAGTCAAAACACATAGCAACTGTAGAAGGGAATTTTTGAATACAATACAAGGTCATCAAATCCTAATTTGTTAATATTGCGTGACTGCAGTATTTGAAAGGAACTTGTGAATAGTGAATACAAAACAAGTTTTATGATGACAAATTTTCTATCACAGGTTTTGTTTTGATCTTTTAGGTTTTATTTTTATTTTTATTTTTTTAAATTGTGGTAGTTGGAGAATTGAGAGTTTAGGCACATTATATTAGAACTTTTGGTTCATTAAACTGAAATATTTGAATAATAAACTTTTAGAGTTAATTACACTTTTGGTCCTATGACTATTGGGGTCTTGTTAATTTCAATTCATGACTTTAAAAACTAACAATTGAGTACCTTAACTATTCAATTTTTATCAATTTTGATCCATCCGGCCAAATTGTCGCCGGAATCTTGTAATCCATCTTAATTTGTTTAATCAGGGGGCAATATGGTCATTCCAAGTGAAAAAAAGGGGGAAAGTTGAGAATGCTGGACGCTGGCCATCCTAATATTCCAATTTCCTAAATCGATTTTAACCTAACATTTGAAACAAACGAAGAACGAAGAAGGAAGAACGTAAAAAGAGAAGGAAGAAAGAAGGGAATCTGTCTCCATCAACTGTGAAGTTTACCTACGTTTGCCATTCTCCATCAACTCTACTTGAAGTAGCAACAACAATGGCTAATTCGTCTTCTGCGACTGGAATGGGTTCTGCGCCCATTACTCTCCGACTAAGTAAGAATTACTTTGTTAACACTTAAATCCTATGAAATTGCTATTGTTTTTGTGTTGACAATATTTATTTTGTGTGGACTGTGGAGTGTGGCGTAGAATGACAGTAAAGCATATTTAGGTTTCTGTTTGTCGTGTGGTTTATATATGCACTATATATTTTGTACTTGTGTTTTGTTCTGTGGGGACCAATTTGGGGACTAATTTGTTGATTATTGTATTCTGTTGTGTGTATATGATTATGGGAAGGTGTTGTGTTCTGTGGGGACCACTATGTTTATTCTTTTATGAATGTCATGTGCATATACTGGGATTAGGAATACTAATGGGGACCATTAGTGTATAACTTTCTTGTGTTGTGTTCTGTGGGGACCACTATGTTGACTGTTCCATGTGTAAATGGTTGCTTTACAGGAGATGGAGTTGGCCCATTTTCAGTTTTCCTTTTTCATAATGGGATAATAAATAGAGTTGGTGAAGTTAAATATTTGGGCGGTGATGTGCAAGTGTATGCCAAAATGGAAGCTAATGAAGTGTGTTTAACTGTGTTGAAAGATAAGATGAAACAATTAGGGTATTGTGAAATAGGAACACTCATTTATTGTTATTGGAATGGTAGTTTGAAGTTACTACAATCAGATAATGATGTGATATCTATATTGAATGAGGTCAATCCAGATAATATGTTGGAGTTATGGGTTGAAACAATGGATGAGTTAAATTTGATTGATGCAGAAATTGAGGTAGTTGAGTCAGATGGTGATTGGGAAAGTGAGGTTGAGGTAGACTGTGTTGGTTTAGATAAGCAGGTTGGTGTAGTGGTTGGGGATGATTTAATTGCAGACCAAAAAAGGGACCCTAAAGTAGAAAAAGAAGGTGAAACAATGACAAAGAATATGGAGGATGAAATAAACTTTTCTGATGAGGACTCAATAGTGGATTCTGATAGTGATGGTGAAGTTAAATGGCCTGTATTTAGAGCTGCAACTGACATGCAAGATCCCCATTTTACTTTAGGCATGACTTTTGCATCCAAGCAACAGTTTAGAGAAGCAGTGCGAAATTATGCTTTCAATAATGGGAAAAAAATTAGAACTGTTAAAAATGACAAGGTGAGGGTAATTGTTCAGTGTACACAGGAGGGTTGTCCTTGGAGAATAGGGTTGAGGAAAGTAATTAACTCACTGTCTTGGAGGATTTTGAAGATGATAGATGAACATGCCGGGTGTTCATTGGTTTTGGAGAATTCTGCCAAGGTAATGAATTTATCCTACTCATTGTCCTTTGTATGTGTAATGTATGAAGTTTGATTTCAGTTTTGGTGCTATGCAGGTTGGTAGACCAAAGATGCTAAGAAAAAAATTTGCTGGTGAATTGAGTCAAGATGGAATTTCAGTGTCAAGAAAGCATATTCAACTACATTGTTCCCTTTGTAGGCAAGCTGGACATAATTTAAGGAAGTGTCCATCTAATCCAAATCAAGATGTAAAATTTATAATACTATTTTTGTTTTTCAACTTATACTATTTTCTTTGTAACTTATACTATTATCTTTTTTCAGTTGAAGCCAAAGAAGAGGATCATTTATGCCACCAAACAAATTCCCATTTGCATGCCTTCACATGCCACTAGGCAGCAGCAGGGGGACCAAAGTGGCCAAGGGCAGCAGCAACAAGTGGACCAAAATGAGAATGGACTACAGGAGGGAGACCAATATCAATTAGGACAGCAGCAGGGGAACCAAAATGACCAAGGTCAGCAGCAACAAGTGGACCAAAATGACAATGGACAACAGGAGGGAGACCAAAATCAATTAGGACAGCAGCAGGAGAACCAAAGTGAGCAAGGTCAGCAGCAACAAGGCAAATCCATGTCCAAAACCACAAAGAAAACCACTATGAGGCAATCCAATCGGAAAAAACCATACTATACAAGGAGCAAGACAACCATGAAGTCCAAATTCTTTGGAAACAAGGATGCCCCTATTAACATTGAATGAATGAAGATAACCCTTTGATTGTTTTTGGGAAAACAGATTGAGTTGAAACTTTAAACTCAATTTGTTGTATTTTAATGGAAAATGCAGTATGTAGACAACCATGTAGTGTTGGTTAATGCTTTGAAACTTGAAGTCAGTTTTTGGAATTGTCCATGTAGGTGGTTAATGAATTCTGTACATTACTAACAGTCACTTTTTGGAATTGCAATGTAGTCTTGGTTAATGAATTGTGTACATTACCAACAGGCAGTTTTTGGAAATCTAATGTATTCTTGCTTACTAAATTGTCTACATTACCACAGTTAGTTTGCTTAAGTAAGTTTTTGGAATTCAGTTAGTTGTTTAATGCCTTGAAACATTACCAACAGTCAGTACATTACCAAAAGGATACCAAAAGGATCAGTTCATTTACATTACCAGACTTCATACATTACACATACAGAGCATAATTTGGATCAGTTCATTTCCAAAATGTACTACCAACCAATACTACAAATATTACGATCAACGCAACTACAATCTTGTTTAACCACTTCAACACTTGCCTTCATCATTATCACCTTTAAGTTTCATATTTAACTTTCTTATCTCTTCATCTTGTCAGTTTTTGTTTCAGCAATCCCGGAATTATTCGCTTTGAACGATAGCACATTGGAGGATCATACCAATTAATAAATCCACATCCCACATGCCTCTTGTGATTGCATTTTAAGTTTAAAATCACCGTGTGCTAAAAAATATGTTGTGTTCATGAACGAACCTTATATGAAAGATTATAAGGAGGAAAGTATACCATAAAATAGTTAAAAGTTACCAACTTAAAGGGGTTGATGCGAATTGCTAATGTTCTTATCCGTGGTAATTTACGATATTGTTTATAATGATTTGTTTTTTGAGATAACATCAGCTTGTGGACGTGCCGGAGTGGTTATCGGGCATGACTAGAAATCATGTGGGCTCTGCCCGCGCAGGTTCGAATCCTGCCGTCCACGTACTTTTCTTTTCTTTCGCTCAGAGTCAGAGGTCTGTGTATTAGCCCGCCAAGAACAAAACGAAATGAATAAAGCATTAGCCATGTAATCTGCAACGACTGTGATATAAACTAAATATGTTCATTTTTTACCATTAAGGGATCAAATTTCTACTTTTAAAATAATTAAATGGCTAAAACTACAATTTTCTCTTATATAAATGAAGATATAAAATATATTTGACATTAAATATCAAATTATTTTATCACCACCACGCCTCCAAATTTGGCGTATGTATTATAACTCATCAAATTTATGGACTCAATGATTATTTCATGAACAAAAACAATCGATGTCAACCGATACCTCCAACCAGGGGCGGATCAAGAAAATTATGTGAGTGAGGGAGTACTTAAAATGACTTTAGAATTGTTAATGCCAAAATATCAGACACCTATAATATGGTTCAAATACATTATAAATTATAATAAAGTGTTTATATGATAGACTACATTATAGTTAGGGGCGGAGCTAAAACTATACTTGGGTAGGGTGAAATTTTAAGACACTTTGAAATGGTATAAAAATATTTATATCAAAATATTAAACATAATCGATTAGATAAAATAGGTTGAATAGAAAAGAAATTATATTCATAAATACTTTAATAATATTAAACATAATAGAAAAGAAATTATATTCATAAATACTTTTTTTTTTGAAAACAACCGTAACGATTGTATTAATTAATCATCGAAGCAATAGAGTCAGGATGGATAGCATCCCAATACATAGAGTTGTCCTGAGTAAAAGCTAACGAAGCTAAAGTATGCACATGTAAATTAATCTGTTTAGAAATAAAACTGATAGAACAATAAATAAACGAAGCTATAGATAGCCTGCAATGGTCTATCACGACTCCAGCATAGGATAGTATAGCTGACGAGGTGTGGTGCAAAATGCTCCGCAATTCTGAACAATCAGTGAGAAGCTCTACCGTCATGACATTCTTCCCCCTTAACCAGGACAATGCTTCCTTACAAGCTGCGGCCTCTGCCATAAGAGGTGAAAAACAAACCGGCAACTTGCCATTTATTGCCGCGATAAACATTCCGTCGGCAGCTAGAAGGACTGCTCCGTACGTAGCTTCGCCGGTCGAAGGCCTGAAGCCGGCGTCGATGTAGCAACGAGGCCGTGTATGCGGTGACGTGGGCGGTGCTGCCGATTGCTCTCGGCTGGGGCAGCTCGGGTGGCTCTGGCCGAAAGCATGCATGGCTGCCACGGCTTGTCTCCGGACGGTGGTTGGGTGCAAGAGAGATCCTTCCCATACCGCCGTATTCCAGGTCTTCCATAGATGATAAAGTACGGCCAACATCAAACAAATCTGCTCATCCGTTAAAACTGCCAACACAGCCATAATCCATGAGGGAAAAGAATCCGTTACAATATTCATAATGGGTAAGCATGTAACATCCCATACAAGCCTAGAATAATTGCAAAGAACTAATGCATGCATAATATTTTCATGAGCCAAACCACACATCTTGCATGTTGGTTCTACTTTTACCCTCTTTATAATCAGATTATTCGTAGTAGGGAGGATATCACAAATTGCCATCCACAAAAAAGTTTTCTACTTGGCTGGAACCCTTAATTTCCAAATAGTTGCCCATTTGTCAAAAAGCACCTGGGGCACATACATAATCACCAACCAGCTTCATATAGGCATTCTTTACTGAATATATTCCTCTAGGGCCGCCCAACCAATACCATGAGTCCTCATAATCTGGGCTTACAGGGATCTTCAATATTCTGCTCACATCTTCTGGGATAAATAAATCAGATAGGATATGTGGATCCCAATTATTAGTTTGCTGATCAATCATACCAGCAACGGGAGCATCTCTTAGCTGTATATGCATTTCTGTCTGAACCAAAGGGTTGGGATCATCAGGTAACCAGGGGTGTCCCCATATCAAAGTCGTTCTACCATTACCCACTCTTCGTCTTATACCAGCTACAACAGTGTCATGTGCTGCCATAATACTTCTCCAGCAATAACTCGGGCAATTTTCTATGGTTACATCCACAAAAGAGGTATTAGGATAATATCGTGCCTTATAAACCTTTGCGACCAGAGTGTTGGGGTTAGTTAGGAATCGCCAGCCCTGCTTCCCTAACATTGCCAAATTAAAATTCCGCAGATCTTTAAAACCCAAACCACCATAATTCTTGGGAACACGTAGCTTATCCCAAGCTTTCCAGTGGATTTTCCTCTCTGTTCCACTTCCCCACCAGTACCTATTCATGGTCCTCTCAATAGATAAGGTGAAAGAGTCTGGCAATAGAAAAATGCCCATTGTAAAAGTTGGCATTGCTTGCGCCACACTTTTTAACAAGACCTCTTTACCAGCCTGAGATAGCAGCTTTTTATTCCATGACCCTATCCTTTGCCTGATCTTATCCTTCACATAAGCAAAAACTGCCCTCTTATTCCTTCCCACAAACGAGGGAAGACCAAGATGTTTTCCAAAATTCGGGGCTTGGTCAACCTGTAAGCAATCCGCTACTGCCAATCTCTCCGCCTCCTGAGTGTTTCTGCTGATATTAGATTTATGAAAATTTACCATTTGACAAGACAAGTTCTCATAGCCTTTCAGACATTGCTTTATCACAGTGGCCTCCTGAACATTTGCCCTGAAAAACAGTAGACTGTCATCCGCAAAAAACAGATGCGAGATTGGGGGTGCTCCTCTAGCCACCCTGCATCCGTGTATAGATCCCGCCATCTATGCCTTTTGTAACAATAAAGATAGACCCTCTGCACAAATAATAAACAAATAAGGGGAGAGGGGATCCCCTTGTCTGAGACCCCGAGTGGGTGCTACTCGGCCTCCTATTGCCCCATTCACAAGAATATTGTACTCAACAGTTGTCACACAGAGCATAATCAATTTAATCCATCATTCATCAAACCCCATTACCATCAACATCTTCTGTAAAAACTGCCACTCCATTCTGTCATAGGCCTTTGCCATATCCAATTTAAAAGCCCCCCAACCTGTGGCCCCACATTGCTTCCTATTCAAGAAATGGCCAACCTCTGCAGCAACAAGGATATTATCCGTGATCAGCTTACCCGGAATAAAAGCACTCTGAGACTCTGAGATCAAGTCCCCCATGAGTGGTTTCATCATGTTAGTGATCATTTTAGCCATAATTCGGTATAACACATTCCCAGAGCTATTGGCCTCATGTCAGCTACCGTTTCAGGCACAGCTTTCTTCGGGATTAAAACAACATTTGTATCATTTAACCCATCCGGGAAAGTGGAATTATTCAAGCAATTCACCACAAAATGAGACACATCACTTCCAACCACATCCCAGAAGTGCTGATAGAAGCGCGGATTCATTCCATCCAGCACCAGTGCTTTGTCAGGGTACATAGAAAACAGAGCAGTTTTGATCTCCTCAGGCACAAAAAGGCGCAATAATTCATTGTTTTGTTCATGGGATACTCGAGAGGCAAAATCATCAAATAAGGGGTCCACACATTCAGAAACACCAGAGGCAAAAATAGTTTTAAAATAATCTAAAACTACCCGGTTCATAGCCTCACCTTCCACCCATATCCCTGCATCATTCATAATCCTAGAAACATAATTCTTTTTCTTTCGGGCAGAGGCATACCTGTGATAGAACCGCGTGTTGGCATCTGCACCACGTAGCCAATGTTGCTTGGCACGCTGTATCCAGAACACATCCTCCTGGGCCTCTAGTTGGCTCAACTGGCTCTCCACCTGTTGGAATTCGGCTAAAGCAGCAGAATCCCTTCGGTTCCTGATTTCCTCTTGCCTCCTCCGAAGGCGTTTTATTCTGTCACCAAACTTATGGAAGTGGTCACCCCCCCATCTCATCAAATGGCTCCCACACTGCTGCTGACAATCCAGCAACCCCTGAGCCCTCCCACCCTGCCAGACCATCTCAAACTTAAAGGTTCTCGACCTCCCAACCCTCTGTATGCATGCATCAATGTTAAGGAATAGGGCCGAGTGATCCGACTTGCGCATTATAATATTTTCAACCACAATACCACCATTCATTTCGCACCAACTAGTCGTGGCCAGGACTTTGTCAAGACGCTCCTCCAACCATCCCTCCGTCCCCTTACTCTTTTCCCAGGTATATTGATGGCCCCTCATTGGTAACTGTAACAAACCACACATGTCCAAGGTCTCCCCAAAGCCGCGTAGGAGACTACTCGGATGCGGATTACCCCCCCTCTTCTCATGCTGATAAAGTAGGTCGTTGAAATCCCCCACCACTACCCATGGGAGGACCGATCTACCACTCAAAGACCGCAACAGATCCCACGACTCCCTTCTTCTATGTCGCTCTGAAAAACCATAGTAGCCCGTCATTCGCCACACTAGCCCATTCGTGTGACTCACCTCCACATCAACATAATTTTTTGAATAACTTAGCAAACCTGCCGTGTTATTCTTTTTCCAAAACAGAGATATCCCACCACTACGCCCCGTACTATCAACGTAAAACAAACCCTCAAAACCAAGACAGACTCGGAGACGTTCCGCATGCACACGTCCCACCATTGTTTCCACTAAAAACACAAATTCCGGCTTCTTACGGTACACTAGGTCCTCAATTTCTCGAACTGTTCGTGGATTGCCCAAGCCACGACAGTTCCAGCTTATGATACTCATAATGATGGGCGGGTCTGGGAGCCAGAACCCGCCGTAAACAAGTTTTTTGGAACCTTGGTCATTGTAACATCCAACCCTCGACCTTCCGACCTCCCACCACTCATGAGATCCTCCCTACGCCTCTTCGCAACCCCCACCACCAGGCCCTCGGCTTCCTCCCCACCACCACTCCCCTCGGCTGCCATACTCATAGCTAGAACTTCGCCGGAACCCCTTTCCCCGGTCACCTCCCTCGGCTGCCTCTCCGGCGGCAATATCCAACTTTCACCCACCGCCCTAGGCTCACGCCGAAACCCTGCACGCATATCCCCCGAATACGGATAGTCCTCAACTGCCAATGGTGAATCACGTGCATGCAAGCAAAATTTATAGAGATGTCCTAGCTTGCCGCAAAAGAAACAAAAATTGTGTAGGCGTGGTTTTGTCTCGCTTCATAAACCTCATCCTCCGGCGCAGGGGTTGTCAACCGGAATTGCCACTCTTATACGATAAAACTCCTTCCACGGGGCCCCCACAAACCTATTATCCACTTTAATGAACGATCCCATAGTGTTCCCAATCTGCTCTAATATTTTATCTGACGTGTAACCCATCGGCAAAGCATGCACTTGTATCCACATATCAAGCGTGTCCAACCGTACATCATCTGGCAGAACCCCATCCACAAGCGGCCGACACACCAGCGTGGCATTCTCATACGCCCACGAACCCTCCTCCATCACACGCTCCATGTCTGTTTTATGGTGGAAAACGAACATGAACAGCCGGGGTTGTATCTCCGTAACTTGCATGCCCTTGACCGGCTGCCAAACTGATGCCAAGACCTGGCTCATGAACTCTATCTTCACCAATTTCCTCGTCAGAAATCGGCCAACTAGGCGACATGTCTGTTCACCCTCGGCCGCCTCTGCTACTGTATCGTCCGGCGCCGGTTCGAAGGTAAACACATTTTCTTCTAAAGCCATATCGCCCCAGCGCTCTATTTTGGCCGCAACCTCCTCGTTTGCCTGCATCGTCGACATCAGAATAGTCGAGCTTCGTCCAGAAAACCAATCGGAAACCGCCCTGTCGCGTAGAGACCGGTGATCTGCCGTAGAGAAAACCTAGAGATGGTAGGGAAACCCTAGAAAAACCTAGAGAGAGAATTTATTGACATAAGTAGAAAATAATATATTTTTATTAGAAAGAGATATTTTTTTAGGAATTGGGCGATCATAAATACTTTAATAATATTAAACACAATCAATTAGATAAAATAGTTTGAATAGAATAGAAATTATATTCATAAATACTTTAGTTTTAATTAACTAACTATTATAAGTGGGTTGTGAACCCATGCCATTTCATTTCATAATCAAGGTTCAACCAACTAAACTGCTAAATTCATTAATGATTGGTACATATAAATATACTAGTATTTCTTATGCGCGATGCGCAAAAAATAGGTGCCCAATATTAATATTTTATATTAAAATTTTAAATTTATTTAGATTTTAGATATTTAAATTATTGTAAATAATAATAATAATAATAATAATAATAATAATAATAATAATAATAATAATAATGTAAAACATTCGTATAATTTTAATATTTATATTTTAAGAAATAACTAACATATAACCCCAATATATAATGTGTATATTATTATTATTATTATTATTATTATTATTATTATTATTATTATTATTATTATTATTATTATTATTATTATTGAAAATAAGAAAATATATGGTGGATGCATGTGCATGGTAGCAATAGTGGAAAAGATAACAGAAGTTGTAACGGTAGGGGTATGTTTGTCCAAAATATTGTATAGTAAAACTAACATTTATAGCATAATGTATTATAAAACTTAAAGGAAAAAACGGACATAAATGAAGGGTATAACCTTCATAAACACTTATTATATTTTTAGATATTAAGCGGTTGGGGAGGGGTGAGTGGGGGCAGCTGCCCCCACTGCTCCTATTGTGGCTCCGCACTGTCTTCAACCTTACACGGTGATGAGTAGGAACTTTTAATAGTTGTATAAGAAAATTCTATCTTTGTGGCTGTAATACTTCCATCTTTGTGGTGTATTGAACTTAAGTTTGAGTCTCTTGAGTTCCTTGTTGGTCGATGATTCCTTTTTCCTTGTTTTGCTTAGCTTCCGCAACTAAAAATGATTTTTAATCAAATAAATTCCTTTTTATCAAGTATTTTGGTTTTAGAAAATGGGGGTGTTACAAGTTGGTATCAGAGCCGTACGAACCTTTGTGAGCCTAGGTTATGCCAATGACCCACAAAGCCTAGATTTATGAGACCTTAGGTGACGCGTACACGGGTTGCTTCTCACAACAAGTGCACAGGCCTGGCCCTGGGCAAGTGCAGGCCGGGCCCTTGCCCAGGGCCCATGCTAGGAAGGGGCCCACCACCCCCATTACTTCTTATATATACCATAGCATTTCGTATAATTATATAACATGCATTAATATCATAGATTTCTGTGTTAGCTTAGTTGGTAGGACTTTTCATTTTCTGTGCACATGGTCAAGGGGTCGAATCCCCTTTATGTCTTTTCCATAAAATTTTCCCTATGTACTATTTAATACATAAATTTAGGGATATTATTAAAATATGTTTTTAGTTGGTTGAGTTGGTAAGACTTGTAGTTTGAAATTTTGTATGCTCATGGTCAAGGGATCAAATATCATCATATGTATTTTTACCTAAAATCTTCCCTCCCTACTCTTTAGTAGATGAATTTAGGATATTATTATATTAAAATTGTAACTTACTAAATTAATTTCTATTTCTAATTTGTATTTTTTTAATTTAATTTATAATTTTGTGATTTTTTTTTACCTTTCTATAATTATAGTGAGATTTATAATATAGATTGATTTGTGATTCATATCAAATTTTGAAACTATTTCTATTCGACTAATTTACTACTTATATTTAGAATATGTGTTATTTTGTGAACTTTATAATGAGTTATGTATATGTAATATATTTTGTGATTTAGTTATGAAAAATATTTTAAAATATAATTTTGATTTTTTTTTATATAAATTATCTAGTCAATGTAGTTTAAAAGTTCTATTGTTTGTCATCATATTCAAATTAATCTAGAAAACTTTGAAAGTGATATAACTAAAAAAATATATAAATATGATATTAATATAGAAGATGTGTGATTTAGTACGTGTTTTTTATTCAAACTATTTTATCCAATTAGTTATGTTTCATATTTGAGTGTTTTGATTTATTGTTCCTAATAATTAAGATTTTATGCTATGCTATTTGTTGTAAGTTTTGTTTTATAAATTGGAATTAATAATTACTTTATTATTTATTATAATAATAATGTGATTCTTTATAAGCTATATTTGGTTTTAAATTATTTATTCATTTTATAAACTATATAATTCTTTATTTATGAAAGCAATGATGCGGTTATTGATTATTTTAGATTCACGAATGCATCTATAATTATTTTCATGTGTATGTAAAATTGTTAAAAACTTGTGAATCTTATTTAAGTTATTGGACATTACTATTTTTTCCTTATTTAATTTAAATTTTAGTTATAAAAAATATATTAATGGAAAAATGGCACTTTTTCCCCCTGAGTTATATACTTATAGCACTTTTCCCCCCTCAATTATTCAAGTGGCTGTTTTTCCCCCTAAAATGTTAAATGGACATATTTACCCTTAAAATAAATATTTTATTTATTTTTCTTCTCCAACAAATTATGACCATAATTTGGTTCAAACCAAATAAACACTATAGCAACCAAACCGAAATATTCCAATTACAATTTAGAATCGAAACTCGATATTTAGAGTTTATTAAAATTCCGGAACGGACGATTCATGTTCTGAACTGAAAAAATAAAATACATTTATTGTTGAATTTAGACTATTTTTAAAATAAAAATAAAATTTTAAAATAAAAACGGTTCAAAATCGCGAATCGGGTCTGGAACCGCCGGTTCACGGTTCAGGATCCAATTTTTTTGATTCATAATTTTAATAAATTGAAATCCAAATATTGGGTTCTAGATCTGAATCATAACCGAAAACTTTTAATTCGATTGCTATAGTGTCCGATTCAGTTCGAACCGAATCGTGGTCATCCCTACGTATACGCAATAATTTGTTGGAGAAATATAATAAATAAAATGTTTATTTTAAGGGTGTAAATGTCAATTTAATATATTAGGGGAAAAACCACCACTTTTAGAATAATTGAAGGGGCTAATGTGCTTACCTAAATAATTGAGGGGAAAAAAGTGCTATAAGTATATAACTTAGGGGGAAAAAGTGCCATTTTCCCTATATTAATTTAATATAGGGCCCATTTTTGTTGCTATGCCCTGGGCCTATAGAATGATAGGACCGGCCCTGCAAGTGCACATCCAAGGAATCACTCCAGAACCTTTCGTGTCTTATAAAGGATCTTACCTTGTAGACTCTTGGATTTTGAGATCCCAAACTCTACAATTGCCTCACTAAACTAACCAATGATCTTCTCAACCCTTGATGATTAAGCAAGGCTAAGAACTAGACTTAGCAGGAATCTAGCACTTGAGATAAGACATAAAAACGAACTTAGCTATTCAATATTAGTAGTTTTTTTTTTTTTTCTTGGGATTTTTTTTGGGTATGTGTATGAATGTAAAGAACAAGATAGTGGATTATGCCTTCTCGGCTTGTAAACTAGCTTCTCATTAGCTTACTTAGATTGAATGCTTCTTACAAACAACCTAAACACTCAATGCAATTCTCATGCAAAAAAAAAGAGAGAAAATCTCATTTCATTCCAAATATTACAAACTGTTGAACCGTTGGGTTATGGGGTATTTATAGGGAAAAATCAGGAATTTAAATGTATAAAATATTCTAGGCCAACATGGTAGTTTTTTGTTGCCTTTTTTTTAAAAAAAAAAAAAAAATTCTTTAAATGTACTTTTTGTAGGATAAAAAGTCGATAAAATAAAATAAGTAACGGAATTAAAATTTTGGAGAAAATAATCCCAAAAGAAAATTCAAGTCATGTGTACCGTACCACATACTCTCCTTAAAATTGATCCGTTATGTGTTTGATCGAGCTAGTTATTATTTAAACTTCATTGGATACTTTGGTTAAAATGTGTTTGATAATTGAGCTGATTAAACAATAAAATTTTTGGCCCAACTCGGCGTAGAGTAAAAAACATTTAAAAAGCATTTAATTTTTCTCTTCAATTTCCTTAGTTTAGACTTGTTTCATTTATCAATAGTCTATTAAAATATAGATTGGGTTAAACCAGACCAAACAATAACAATCTTAACTTGACCCACCAAAAAAAAAAAAAAAACTAATTTTTGCTCTTCAATTTCTTTCATTCAAAGTTATTGCATTTATCTATACATGATTAAGTATGGGAAATTATTGGGATGGTCCACAGTGGACCACGGTTCAAAATGATGTTTTTTTGATGTATTTTACGCTGCGCACGTGTTAGAATAATGAACATTTTGGAGTTAGATAATATATTTTATGAGTTAGAATCATGTACTTTGTTTTAGAATAATGTACTTTATATGTGTTATAATAACAAAATTTCTGTCTTCTCTATGAGTTAAATAATGTACTTTATGTATATAAATAATGTATTTTATTACAATAAAAATCTTTGTCCAACCAAGCCCACATCCCAAAAAATAATTTTTTCCTTCAATTTCTTTGGTTCAGAACTATTATATTTATCAATTTATGCATTTATTTGAAAATGACATTTTTTTTCCCTCTGAGTTGTTTACTTATAGCATATTCTTCCCATGTTTTGTTTATGTAACCACTTTATCCCCCTCAATTGTTTTTAAAGTGGCTATTTCTTCCTCTCTTTGTTAAATAAATGTTTGGGCGGTTAAAAATGAGGGTAAAAAATGATATTTTACTTAATAATAATAATAATAATAATAATAATAATAATAATAATAATAATAATAATAATAAGTGAATATCATTTTTACACTCATTTTTAACGGTCCAAACATTTATTTAACGGAGAGGAAAAAAATAGCCACTTTAGAAACAATTGATGTAGATAAAGTGGTTACATAAACAATACAGGGGGAAAATGTGCTATAAGTAAACAATTCAGAAGAAAAAAGTGCCATTTTCCTTAAGTTAAATGTTAAAAAAACGAATCTAAAAAAAAAAAGTTAATTCCATTTTTGGTCCTACTGTTATAGGGGTCATTCCAATTTTAGTCCATCATAATTATTTTTGTCACATTGTGTCCACTATTTTTAAAAGTGTTTCAATTTTAGTCCACGAAAAATATTAAAATGGACTAAAATTGGAACACTTTTAATAATAGTGGACGCAATGTGACAAAAATAATTATGGTGGACTAATATTAGAAAAGCCCCTATAACAATAGGGCCAAAAATGGAATACACTCAAAAAAAATACATTTGTTTTTTACTTTTAGTAAAATAGAAAAAGAACGTTTTCTAAATTTAATGCAAACACTAAAAAATGAAAATTCTTTTTGAAACATAAATTATTTTTTGAAAATTAATTTTTAGAAAACATTTCCTGTATTTGATAGTATGCAAGACTTCTCAAACAGAGTCAGTGTTGGATAGCCAGATCATTAACAACATCAAAGAAGCTTCAGAAAAAAAATAAAGAAAAATGGTTAAAAATTTAGTAGTAGTAAGGCGTCGGTACGGAGTTGCGTCACTTCAGTCGTAGTCTTAGACCCCTTCTCTCATTGAGAACCCATACCGTTACCAACCTGCTATTAAGGATATGACAGAAAGAAATAATAGAAAAAGAGCAGACAAGGGCTTTCGACAAAAAGGTTCAGGTCTTTTTTTAGTCTATTCCTCTCTAAGCTGCTTCAATTGCAAGTGGTGGTTGACTCTTGATTCAATTCATGTGCACATCACATCTGCCCGATCAGTCAATGATGAGAAGGCTTCTGCCGACCCCAAAGTAGTTGATGACGAGTGTCTCCGTCATCCGTTCCGCTATTGAGGCTGCCAAACTTCTGCTGAAAATAGACTTGACTTCTACTTCTTGGAAGAAAAAAAGTTTCTTGATATTTTGCATCTCGAATTGTATTCCCGCGAAAGGCCCTTAAGATGGAAACTGCTTCTAATGCTGGGCAATCTTGTTACTTTCATGAAGGCAGATAGGGAATAGGATGCTACTTCTATGCTCATTCCGATCTTCCTCTTCCGTTCGCGAGTAAAATACCCCGCTCCTTGCTTGAATAAATGCAACAACTAGAAGACGCCTCCAACTACTTAGGAGAACCCACTCTTCTTCGGTTTCAGAATCGGGGGATGAGGGCTGCCTATTTCCTTAAGTCAAAAAGTCAAGCGGGTCGGCGACTTCCACTTATCGATCCGGCCCCAGAAAAGTGACCGGCCAAGGCCCACCAACTAGTGGAACATGGACCCCCCCCCCCCCCTACTGAAAGAAGAAGAGTTTCAGTTTCTACTTCGAGAGTACCCGGAAGAATGCTAGTAAGAAGGAGGCTAGTTTGCTAGGTTGTAGATCTTCTCCCTTATTCTAGTAGAGAGGAATCCCCTCAATAAAAATGTTTCAATCTTGTAGCACAATTTACGATTCAAATTTCTTTTAGCATTGCTAGGAAAGTTGTTTCTATGTCTGACTGTAAAGAATGTTTTACCATTCTATCGATCTTTATTGTAACTGTTTCAACTTATGATTAATGAATTAGCTCTTTATTTAAAAAAAAAAAAATATTTCCTGTACCGTATATGTATGAAATATTATAAGGAGGAAAGTATACTATAAAATAATTAAAAGTTACCAACTTAAAGGGGTTGATGCGAATTGCTAATGTTCTTATCCGTGGTAATTTACGATATTGTTTATAATGATTTTGTTTTGAGATAGCATCAGCTCGTGGACGTGCCGGAGTGGTTATCGGGCATGACTAGAAATCATGTGGGCTTTGCCCGCGCAGGTTCGAATCCTGCCGTCCACGCACGTTTCCTTTTCCTTTGCTCAGAGGTCTGCACTTTAATGTTGGCCTTGTAATTAAAGTATACATAATTCATACTCACAATTACTAGATACTAGATACTAGATATTCAGACGTTATGCCGTGGAACCGTGTTCACCATTCATGGTGAACATGGTTCCAACGGTGTTAGTGCACCGTTATCTTTCTTTCTTTTTTTTTTTTTTTTTTTTTTTTTTTTTTTTTAAATTAATTACGTGACTGCCTACACATTCACTTTGGAACCATGCCTACACATTCACTTTGGAACCATGAGATTATGAATTTTCTGTTATAAGATTATGAATTTTCTGTTATGAGATTATGAATTTTCAGTTATGAGATTATGAATTTTCTGTTATGCGATTATGAATTTTCTGTTATGCGATTATGAATTTTCTGTTATGAGATTATGAATTTTCATTACATTCATAATTTCGGACATTCATAAATTATGAATTCATGCATGCACATTCACTTTGGAACCATGCCTACATATTCCCCTCCGAAATCACGGACATTCATAAATTATGAATCCATGCCTGCACATTCACTTTGGAACCATAAGATTATGAATTTTCTGTTATGAGATTATGAATTTTCTGTTATGAGATTATGAATTTTCAGTTGTGAGATTATGAATTTTCTGTTATGCGATTATGAATTTTCTGTTATGCGATTATGAATTTTCTGTTATGCGATTATGAATTTTCATAAAATTCATAATCTCATAACAGAAAATTCATAATTTGATCAGTAACGCGCCGTTAACTTCACATCCGCGATTTTTTTTTTTTTTTTGCCTAAAAACGACGTCGTTTTGACCTGTGTTCACCATTCTCGGTGAGCACGATTCCACGGCATAATTTGCGCTAGATATTGAGGTCAGCAACTCTGCATGTTGCTTAATATGTTGGCCTTATAATTAAAAAATATATATTTATAACTAATGAGATAATTAAAATAACAATAGAGTAGTGTTCACAAATAAAAATAGAAAAGTGCATTTTTGGTTCTTGAGATATAAGTCATCACAAAATTAAACCATAACAATCCGTTTGGCAAATAAATTCCTTCGTTTGGGTGTAGGGAATTGAAATTCAATTCCCTAATTTTTATAGAATTAGAATCACATTATGCTTCTATGATATTTTTTTAGATGTAAACATTTAAAAATGTTAACATTTTATTATGTTTAACTAAGTTGTGTACTTTTGTTTTTTCAGAAGTTTATTTTGGATATGAGCTTATGAAGTTTGATGTTGAATGGTTAAGTTGGGAGCTATTAAATACGTTCTAGTCACTACTACAAAAATCACGTACAACGTCGGGGAAATAAAAAGACATATAACGTCGATTCCGTTAGAAAACCGACGTTATATGTCTTCAAAAATAAATTAAAAAATTATGAAATATACGTCATCGGTTTGCCTTATAATCGACGTCGTAACACATTTATTAAAAAAAAAGAAGAAATAAATATACTATACCGTAAATGAACCGACGTCGTATAGTTAAACTAATTTCTTTTTTAATATCCAAAGTAAATGAACCGACGCGGTCGGCTATGATACAAGTTTATATCCAAAGTTTTCAAATAACAACTACATTGCATTATAGTTTTGATACAAATTATTTGTTATTTTTTTGAAATAAAATTTACTTGTTATTTAAGATTGATGATGGAAACTTGCGAGTTTGGTCCCTGAGTTATGACCGTATCCATTTTTAGTCCCTCAGTTATGAGCGAAGTAGCGCATTTGGTCCCGGACCGTTAAATTTGACTGAAAAATTAAAAAATATTTAAAATTTTAGGAGTAAGTAAGAAATTCATATTTTATTCACTTTCTTATATTGAAACCACTTTTGCTTCCTAGCATTTCAAGATGACTCAATAGTTCAGCAGAGAGAGCTACCCACTTTGGACATAATTCCCACACTGATGCCGCCGAGGTTGTCTTCTTTGGACATATATATATCACCTTTGTCTTCTTAAAACTAGAGTAATGAATGATGACCTAAGAGTCAGTTATGAAAATTCTTAAAACTTTTGTAACTTCTAAAAACGATTATTGACTAAACTACTTCATATTAAAACTTTTTACATGCTAAAAATCTCAAGTTATTCCGTTGATGGATTTCTCATAAAAGCAGCCTGAGAAATTTGACATCATTTTATATCTCAAAAGTTCTGGTTTGATTACCTTTGTTGCTTAGTAAATAAAATTGCCTAGTAAAGAAAATTGAAAATTGATAAGATAACGTGTTTCATACGTCTGAAGACAAAATAAAATATATATTTATGTTTAAATTGCTAATAGTTTGAATAACTTAATTGGTTGAACTCTATATATTTAAAAATGGCAGGAAAACATGAAGAATCTGCGCTAATGGCAGGAAAACATGATGAATCTGCGCTAACTTTTCAATGTTTGTTGTACCAATAAACTTGCATTAGTCCTTTGGTGCATAGCACCCTAAAAAATATTATATTTCCAGTTTCCCTTCCCCACAATGCATTTGAATCAAATAACCCAATTTTTTTTAGCATAAATTGTTCAAGAGAGACACCATGAAATAAACTGGGAATTATTCATCAGTCAGCAGCAAATAGTAGTATCAGAATCCAAATTCAAACCAATTCAATTCCTTCTCCCCTGATGGAATCAATCACAGCTTTGACCTTTCCATGATATCTCTGATCCTTTTTGAAGAAAACAGAAACAGCAGGAATGCCTTTGACCCGCAGTCGCTCCCCCAGCAGCTTGCCTATTTTTGCAGCAGCAGCAACATCCCGGGTGTTTTCTTTCGCTTCTATCATCCCCAACCTCAAACTCTTCTCTTGTGTGCTGGCAGCTGTGGCAACTGTTGCACTTGGTGTGTGGACTACTTGAGCATTCACATATTTGTTGGTGAAGTGCATCCTCAAGACATAAGGTTTGAGGAACTTTGTCACTCTTTCTGGTCTAACTGGTGGAGGAATAACCATTTCTGATTTACACGACACACAAAAAAAAAACATTAAATTCAGCTTGAGCATTTAACTATAATGAAGAAGACTTATAGTTCAGTCTGTATAGTTTTACTTGGTTTTCAATTTTGGGCTCAATATAGCATTAAGAACTAGAGTGAATTTCATACATCCAATTCTGATGTGCATAAAATGGTATGCAACATCAGAGTTCAGAAGGAACAGGAACATCATGTAAGACAACAATCCATTCAAATAGCAATCTCTAGGACGTAGTAAACTACAAAAAATGCATTAAAAATATGAAGAATTGAAGATCCTTTAGGAAGAGAATAAAGCATCACAAAGATCTATTCTTCCAAGAAGACAAAGTAAACATTTCAAGGTTTGGGAGTGGGGGTTGAAATAAAGCTTCAGTATTATGGCGAGTAAATTTCAGATTTGGTCCTAGAACTCTAGAAGCTTTAAGCTTAGTTTCGTTTTGGTCCAAGTCTCAATTTAGTAAATAATGATGAATAGTTTTGGTTTCAATTTGGACATCAGACAAATCTCTTTGGCCAAATTGGATATAATTCCATCAACATGGGACTTCCACATGCACATGGGCACGGATATTATAGGAATAATCACCAGAGGGAAATAATGGCTAATGCTTTATAAGCCAGTCCATAAACACTAATTTACTAATGTCTGGAATATACAAGACTGAATATAACCAGTTGATTCATATTAGTAGAATTCTCCATTACATATCCAACTAAACTTTAAGGTAAACTAGCAAAAGATATTAATCCCATATCTTAAGTTCATTTTAGGTCCCTCCCAAGTATCATCCGACAGAAGGGGTTCATGATTCCTACTATAAGGCTATAACCATTGACTTAGGAGTTAGGATTTTAGGTTTCATAGTACATAACATTTCAGCATCCTAAAATTTATGTCAATATTATCTGAAGCTAAGAAAGCCTTTTCTATTAGTAACATATCATCTTTTACCATTAATCATACATAATAAGTATATAAGACTCAAAGCAAAGAGAAAGTGATAGTTTATTTCTACGAAGTTTGGTTTGCATCACATTTCACCTGACTAGTGTTGTAAAACTCGCTCGGCCTAGGCACTACTAGGCGCCCCTAGGTCGAGTCGATTTTGGCTTTAGGCAGCCATTTACACACTAGTCCGACTAGGCGGTAAAACATTGATGCTTAGAGTCACCTGGGAACAACCATACGACTGCTTTCAATCATTGCCTCGACTATCACTAACCACCAACTGACTCGGAACTCGCAATTCACAAACACTCGTTGCTCGTTGCTCACCCCTTCGCCCTTCTCCTTTACTACCTACCTATTAATTTCTGAGATTTATTTCAGAAAGAGGAGGCCGGAGATCACTCAACAGTTAAATACACAACACATGAATTCATATTCTGTAAAATACATGTATATACATACAAGAGTGCATATTCTGTATATATATACAGACACAAAACCAGATTAATCAAATATTTAAGTCCTATATTTCTCCTAAAAAATGTTAGAATTAATTTTTTTTTAAAAATATTTTCTGTAATTTTGAATATGAAAAAAATACAATTTGATTTATAAATCTGAAAAAATGTATAAAACTGGAGATTACACTATAGCAAAATGGCTTATTTCATGAACCAATTTACACGTAAGAAAAAATATAGATAGAAAAGGGAGATTTTATACCTGCTAAGGGGAATAAATCGATTATCCGACAATGAAGTGAGTAGGAAAACTAACGCCGAGACTTTGAGTTGGAGATGCCGAGTGCGGAGAACCGGAGGAGCCGAGGGCGGAGGCCGGAGGCCGTGAGCCGGAGAAGGAAGTAAACGGAGAGTTTTAGGGAAAAGCTGCGCTTAATAATGGACTAGTATTCGACCCGCACGGATAAAATTTTAAAAATTTTATTTTTGTTAAATTCAACTTTAAAAAATGTGAAGTATACAATATATAATTTTTTTTATAGATATAATAAATAAGAAATATAAGACATTTATAAATGACTTACACATTTCATATATATATATAAAATATAATATAATGGGTTGGGTTTTGGGCTAAATTTTGATAATATGGATGCTGACTTTGATTTTGATCAATAGTTATGTTGTGCAACCGAATGTACCATGCGCATGGTGCATACACTGCAAAATAACGTCGTCTTGACTAAAAATGCGCGTCCCACTTAAAAAAAAAAAATTCAGGTTCGATTCTCGGCAATAGCATTATTGTGGATATATAGTTATGATTTTCTGGATATATAGTTATGAATTTGTGGATATATAGTTATGAATTTATGGATATTTAGTTCATTCATTGTAAATATTTACTTCATTCATTCACTGTGGATATATAGTTATGAATTTGTGGATATATAGTTATAAATTTATGGATATTTAGTTCATTCATTGTAGATATTTACTTCATTCATTCACTGTGGACATTTAGTTCATTTATTGTGGATTTTTACTTCATTCATTCACTGTGGATATATAGTTATGAATTTGTGGATATATAGTTATGAATTTATGGATATATAAAAATGCTATTGCCGGGAATCGAACCTGATTTCTTCTTTAAGTGGGACGCGCGTTTTTTAACTAAAACGACGTCGTTTTGCATCGAATGCACCATGCGCATGGTGCATTCGGTTGCACAGCATAATTTGCGGATTTTGATGGTAAAATAAATGGGCTGAATAATAGAGATTATTTTATGCAGTCATTATATCGTGCACCGCGATAAAAAACGACGTCGTTTCTTTTAGTAAAGAAACAGTCTGCCGTTACCGTTAACGGAGTCTGCATGTTTGATGTATTAAACACCAATTGACACTACAATACATCTAAACCGACACTGCATCATGTATTATTTTTACTAGTTTTTTACGCACATTGCGCGATTGGGATAATGCCCAATGTTTTTTTTTTTAAATAAGTACTTTAAAGTATATTAAGGCAAGATTATATTGAAATTGTTCATGCATAGATAATTGTTGGTTGAATTTGCGTATTTAAATAGGTAATTCTTCTCCCAAAGGTTGAGTCCCCTACCCCAAGGGCCCCCCACACTCTGACCCGACAGAGCATTGTAGGAAGTTGTAAATCACGGTGACTCAATGGTTCAGCAGACAGGACCAAATGCCGGTGCGAACAAGGAATCTGCCCACTTTGGACATAATTCCCGCCGAGGTTCAAACCTTGGTCTCTTCTCCCAAATACTGCCCACTAAACCATTGAGCTAAGCCCGTGCGGGTTAAATAGGTAATTCTAAGTTTACAAATGCAAGATAATATAGTCAAGATTGATTATAATTGTCAATAAAATAATTGTATAGGTATGGTTGAAACCAAATACGGGACATAAGGGAGAACAAATAAAAATTAGGGCATAAAATATTAAATATATACTAATATTGTTTGAGGAGATTTCGACATTAGGATTTGTGGTTAAGTTCTATTAAGACTTTAATATTAGAATTAGATTAATGGTATAATTATAATTCTATATTAGACGTTAATATTAGAATTAGACTAACGGTAAATTAACGGTATTTAACGGAAAAGTTAAATGGATAATCATATAATTAAGGATAAATTAGAAATTTTTTTAAAAAAATTAAAACCTGAACAATTTGAACCATTCATTTGATTTAATAATTTGGCGGTCATTTTTTCTACCCAATGTTAATAATTAAATAAATTCGTTGGTCAAATCCGCTAATATAATCCGCTAACTGCTGATGGTCAAACAAGGACATTGCAAGGTATTTCTCACTTCAATTTGTTGTGTGATTTGAATACCCTCTTTGTCACAAAATCTCTCAAGGTAGTTAATATGGTTGGCATTATTAATTATATATTTTTTTAATTTTTTCATGGTATTAATAAAATACTTGGTAAATAAATATATAGCATTATTTTGTATTATAACTTTGATATTTAATTAGAAAAATAGTGCACAAAAAAGATAATAGACAATGTAGTGAATATAATCAATTGATGAATTTGAGTAAAAATTTTTACATTTGAGAAAAATAAAGACGATATAACTAATGAAAATATTTCTCTTAATTAATTTATTGATAATGAATAATTTTTTTTCACTGAATTAAGACATTGTAAGGACAATGTAGCGAATATAATCAATTAATAAATTTGAATATAAAGAATTTTTATATTGTAGAAAAATAAAGACAATATAACTAATAAAATTATTTCTCTTATTTAATTTATTGATAATGAATAAATTTTTTTTTTAATAAAGGCATTGTGGACACATAATTCTGAATTAAAAAAATGCATATCTATAATTTTTTGTTGTAGCTACTAAATTATTATTTATATAATTTAATAAGAGTAAAATAGAGTACTAATTATGCCAACTTTGATTGGGATGAGGTTCGAACCTAAGACCTTTTTTTTTTTTTTATTGAAATCAATGAGTAAGTTAACGGTGAACTAACGACAATTCTTAAAATTTTAACGGAATTAGTAACGGTGTGTGGGTATTTTAGGAAATTTTAGTGCAAAATTTAAATCTTATCAATCTTTTAATCAATCTGAGCCATTCATTTGATTAAAATCTGTGACCGCCATTTTTTCTACCCATTATAGGCCTAACTCTCTTGGGCTCTTATTAGTATAGTAGATATTATCAAATGAAGCTGCAGTTATATCAAAATGATAGTGTAGTTGTGGTGAAATGAAACTGCAGTGTATATAAAATGAAACTGAATAACATTTCACATATTTAAGTGTATATTGTGAAGCTGTAATTATATCAAAATGATCATGTAGTTGTGTCTTAATAAAACTATAGTGTATATAAAATTAAATTAAATAAAATTTTCACATATTTGAGTCTATAAATATCGAATGAAACTGTAGTTATATCGAAATGAAACTGTAGTTGTGTTAAACTGAAACTGCATTGTATACAAAACGAAACTGAATAACATGGTTACTTTTTGCGGAAGGGTGATGTAAGCATTGAAAATTTAAATAGTATTGTTGCACCGTGGTGGATAATTGATTGTTAAATTAATTACTTTAATTAAGCTAATTAGACTGGTATTTATTTAATCGGGTTAATTAAAATGGCCCATTAAATATTTATTTGATTTAATTGCTTAATTAAATGTAATTGGATGTTGGAGTGTTCGGCCCGAAACGATGAAATATTTAATTTAGTTGGACCGGGCTGCTTGGAGTAATTGGGTTGCTAATTAGCGGGTTTGACTTGGTCTTGGCCCATCAAAATTATATGTGGATTATATAATTTTGAGAAATTTGAATATTTGATATTATTTGGAAATTTAATGAAATCATGAACCTGTACGCAATGGTGTCCCGATACATTCCTTAATTTAATTAAAGAAATTAAATTAAATAAAGAATTAAGAGTTGGTTGGAGATTTTCTCTCACCCTCACCACTATAAATAGTGGTTTCATTTTCAAAGAAGGGGCTCTGAAAATCTGCATATCGAAGCTCTGCCGAAATCTCGCCAGGATATCGTCTGGAACACGCCCGCAGTTATATATATACTGCGTATATTGCGCTGAGGAATACGCCACTTGAACACCGGAAGCCCTTCTTTGAAGATCAAGCTGCATGTTAGCCCTTCATTGAAGAACAAGCTACATAACTCCGGAGGCCCTTCAGCAAGGAACTACTTCCAGTTCGGCCATACTCCCGAACTCGGCATACTTCCCATACTTCCAGTTCAGCATACTCTGAACTCAACACACTTTCAACAAGGAATTCGGCATACTTCCAGTTCGGCCATACTCCCGAACTCGGCATACTTCAAGTTCAGCATACTCTGAACTCGACACACTTCCAATTTGGCATATTCCAAATTTGGCACACTTCTAATAGGCATACTTGTAGTAGAGAATCAGAGGACTTCTCCTATACAGAGATTGTACCCCTCCCGTTTGATATATACTTGATACTACTTGTAACCGATACTTTGAATTTTGAATATATACAATTCAAGTTTTTCGCGTTTACATATTTTGGCACGCCCAGTGGGACAGCTCTGCCTCTCATCTCTCTACTACTATATCTCTACCTGCTCATCAAATGGCATCGAACAATCTCATGTTCAGGAGGACCTATGCCCAAGCTACCAAGTCCAAGTCTACGCCTGTAGCTAGCTCTGGCACTACCCCAAAAACGCATGGTCCGCTGACAAGGAACCGCGCAAAGGATTTGGGGGTCCAAGTGCCTGAACCTTAGTCCATGGCACGACGGGTGGTTCGAAGGCTTGACAAGGCCCCTGCTGCCTCAAAGGCAATTGCTTTTGCTGGAAGTCCACCCTCTCCCAAGGGAGCTACCGATGGTGGTAGTCCAACTTCTATGCAAGGGAACGCTAGTAGTGGGAGCACTTCCCCCGTAACTCCGCCTCATCCATTATGGAAGGCTGCACCTGAGTGGTCGCATATCTACAACGTCATGCCGGCCATGGCGACAAACACAAAGTCTGTGGAGGAGCAATTAGCTAGAATTGCTAGGTCTCTGGAAGGAATGGCTGTCGCTCTCCAAAATCAAGAGAAACGGCTTAACACCCTCGATAATAGGGTAGGAAGCATCATGGAGGAGCAAGGAAGCCGTGCTCCAGGAAAGCAACCTGAAGGGCAAGAAGAGGTTGGTCAGCAATCACCACAACCTCATGTTAGCCATGTGGTAGGAGAAGCTGCTTCCCATTTACCTGCAACTGAGAAAACCATTCCAGTTACCGAAGGCATGATACCGGTGGATCAGTTGAAGGACTACATAATGGGGGCCATCAAAGGCAGGTTGGATGAAGGACAACCTTCATATTCCTATACTAAGCCCTACACACAAAGAATTGAGGAATTGAAAATGCCCTACGGCTATCAACCTCCTAAGTTCCAGCAATTCGATGGCAAAGGAAATCCCCGACAGCACATTGCCCACTTTGTGGAAACATGCAATGATGCAGGGACTTATGGCGATCTGTTGGTAAAGCAGTTTGTCCGTTCATTAAAGGGAACTGCGTTTGATTGGTATACTGACCTTGCGCCCGGCTGCATTGATAGCTGGCATGATATGGAACGTGAGTTCTTAACTCGTTTCTATAGCACAAGGAGAACGGTCAGCTTCTTGGAACTCACCACTACTCGCCAATGGAAGGGTGAACGCGCTGGTACCTACATCGAAAGGTGGAGGGAACTATGCCTGAATTGCAAAGAAAGAATATCCCAAAGTTCTGCAATTGAGATGTGCATCCAAGGAATGCACTTCGAACTCTCCTATATCCTACAAGGGATTAAGCCAAAGTCCTTTGAGGAGTTATCCAGTCGTGATCACGACATGGAATTGAGCATCGAAGCCAGCGGAGGGCTCAACATATTGAACTTGCCTAGCTCCTCCAATGCACCTGGAAAACAAGAAGTTAAAAAGTGGAACAAACCTTTTCCAAAGCAGGAGAAGAAAGAAGTGATAAATGTGAAGGCTACTCCCATGA